GAGGGGAGTACCTCAGCGGCGGATGGACGAAGGCGGCGGCGGCGGCGGCGATGCACGACGACAGTTATCGGCACGCGGGCGAGAGTGAGAGTGTGAGTGAGAGAGAGGGTCGGTCGTGCGCGTGGGGATAAGGTAGGGATAGTTGTAGCGCGTTTGCCAAAACGCGCTACAGCTAATCTGAATAGCAGTAGTGCTTTGCATATAAACCGCTACTGCTAAGTGTAACTATACAAAAATACGTCATTGCAAAAATACATTGGCCATCAATGATCTTTTTGTGTACAATCTGAATTGTCAATATGAGTCCTCTCTGGTAGAAAGCCGAGAGGACTCATTTTGCGGCCACAAATTTTACATATAGAGTTCAGTGAAGACCAACTGGTTGTGATAGTTTCAGAAATAACATATTTAAGGTGGTAAACACCCTGTTCACGGAGCAAGGTGGGACTAAACTTGTGGGCTGATCTTAGCAGTAGCGGTTTTCTATGAAGCGCGATGCTGCTAACTTCCATAGCAGTAGCACGGTTCATTATAGGGGGCTACTGCTATAACTAGCGGGGGGGCGAGGTCATGGCAATTAGAGCAGTAGCGCGGTTTGTGGTGGACACGCTACTGCTATTTTGCTTTCAGCAGCGCGTTTTGCTATCACGCGCTGCTGCTAAATAGCAGTACGTCGTATTTTGAGGAGCGCTGCTGGTAAGATTCTGTGTACATATCGATGCATTACTATTTACTTTTCACACTTGCATTGTCTTACTTTCTAATCATAGTAGATCACAACTTTCTATAGATCTGTAAATGTCTCTACAACATACTCCCTCCGTCCTCAAATAAGTGGGCCAATATTGAATATTATCGGTCTTTATTCCTGTGTGATGAGAAAGAAACATTTTTTCTACTTTAAAGTGCATTGAGAAGATAGAAATACACTCTTTTGAGGAAACATTTTAAATGCTAAACATCCACTTATTTGAGAACCGAGAGAGTATATCCTAACAGACTACTTCAAACTTCCCTAACATACTATTTATGATACTCTCATACCATACTACTATAGCAAACTCCTAACACATAGGACATAGTAGATTATGTTTGGAACAAGACTATACTATATTTCTCAATGATAAGAGGGAAAGGAGCTCACCACTATGCCCACTGCCGCGACCAAAGATGTTGGCGGAAATACCGGAACTACGACACTACACACCAGCGTCGACGACCCAACAGTACAAGACTACCACCACCATGACCACCATGGGTAGGTGGGGTTCTGACAGCCGACCGGCCGTGACATCGCCGACGATGTCGCAAACAGTGGCAGGGTGCCGTCATGTTAGGGATGCAACGTAGGTGTGAAGACTATCCGGCGCTGACCCATTAGGATGGAGAGGAGGGAGTAGATGGAGCGGTAGGTGGGTCTGGTGGGAGGTAGAGAAGCGATGGGATGCATCATGGGATGGTTGACACTAATCGTCAGGCTCGGCGCAGCAACCATAGGCTTTGAAGTGGAGGATGGAGGGGGGCAGTGGGGAAAATGACTGAATATAAAGGGCCGTTAGGATTATCACTACATGAGCCGTTAAATATGGTATGTCAGTGTTTAATTTGTATTACAAATGGTGTACTTATGATGACTAGTCATTTTTGTTAATGGATCGGTTTTAGATTCTGGAACTGGCACGTACCGATTATCACAGAATGGGAAAAAATGGCATGTCAATGATATCTACCCGGTCAGGCCTCAAAAGCATCATCACTGACGCCGGTCAGTGTTAATGCATATCACTGTCGAATGGCTTGTGACCGGCCAGTGATGAGGGGTCAGTGATATGCCGATCTGTAGTAGTAGTAGTCGCCTATTCACTCCCTCTCTAGTTGACATCTTCGACCATTCATTATTGCAGTGGTACTATGACTAGCCTCGGTGGACCAGATGAGATGGAGATACCGCCACCAGAGCCAGCGGAGGTGTTGGTTTTGATGACAACAAAGAAAGTTTTTTGTGTGGTTGCGCACATAGTTTCCACCATGGAGTGAATCTTTCTGCTTGGGCTATAGAACATGACTCGACTTTCCTAGACCATCATTTAATCTTATTGAATATATAACTTTTTTCTTGCTCCTTAATGAATGAAAAAAATTTCAAAGCAAATATTGATAATTGTATGAGCAAAGCCAACACAGTTGCACATGAGCTGACTAATCATACCACAATATCTGCCTCGTGCATTTGGGTGGACATTCCTCCCAACATTTTTGTACCTCTTTTGGTGGATGCACTAAACCTTATTTAAAATAATAGTTAATTTACCTGAGCTCTAGAAAACAAAAGGTAAGCATAATTTGCTTTCTGGAAGATGGCACTAAATCAATCTTTTTTAGAGAATAAAATGGATTAGAATAGGTGACTTTATCTTTTGATGATAGAAAGGATTTAGCTTCACCGTGATTGGGATAGGTCTGCCAACTAATATAGCTAATAAGCTTAATTAAATGAACAAAATGAATAAGTAGTAAACAACAGTCCATAGGTCTGCCAACTAATATAGCTAATAAGCTTAATTAAATGAACAAAATGAATAAGTAGTAAACAACAGTCCATCGATGTAGGCGAGTCTCAATCACGCTTTATCGTCCGTGTCCCCTTTTTTGCACGTGTGTGGGTTCACTTTACAATTTTCTCCCTTTCTCGATTGTTCTGTATCACATTTCTATTGCCCCCCCCCTCTCGCCTCTAGCCCATAAAGAGCTCAGAAATGCTACACCTACGGGCAAGACTAGCTACGGAAACCTACAAACAAATCTACTTCCTTAGTTGTCTACCGACATTGCAACCAAATCCTCCAATGCTCGCAACCGACTCACCTTTGCTTTCCATATGTAGCGTGACTCATAAAGAGCTAGTCGATGTAAACTGTCCTGTCACATTCTGCCTTTCTCTAAGGTGTAGTTGCTGGTGAGACACTCCTTCCATGCTTTCATGGCCCTTCCCACTACTCGTGATGCACGGAGACAAGCCCAATGCATGCAGGCAAAGTAGGGTAGGTTGTCGCCTTTTTAGTTTGTAGGATAGCTAATTGCTCATGCCGAGCGGTAGGGTAGGATGTCGGCTTCTTTAGTGTGTAAGATAGCTAATCGCTCATCCTGAGCGATAGGGTAGGCTACCGACGGGGGCTGGTGAAATCTAAGCCTAAACTTGTTGAAAATGCGTCGATGAAGAAAGAGGTAAAGTGATATCATATGTTCAATTGAACCCCAATCTTCTCTGATTTGTTTTAATAAATATAAGTTGAGAAGGTTTGTGTCTGCGGTCAATTTGGAGGCTTAATTTTGGGGGGTCAATTGTGGTTGAAAGCTTACACAACTATTTTTGTTTTGTTTTGGAATCACATGCTCTTCTAGTTGCACATGAGTTTGAAGTTGTTGATTCTTGTTGGACCGGCAACTCCAATGCTAGTGGGATCGGTTGGAAGTTAATTAAATGGAGTTTACTCCTACGC